AGCATAAGGTCATTAAAAGACAGAAAAGTGGATGTCAGAAGAAACTGTGAAATGTGCGTTTGACTATAGACTAGCTAAATGTAAAAAAGTATGAAGTTAAAGAGCTGAACATAAAATTTCAAAAGGCAGGTCCAGAAGACTAAGTGTTACAATGAAATATGCAAAGACTCAGAGTTAGCAAATCAAAAGAGACAAACAAGCTTCAGTTCTCAAGCTGAAAGAACAGAAGAAAAAAAAAAAAAAAAAAAAAAAAAAAAAAAAAAAATATATATATATATATATGCCTCAGCTTGCAATACTGAAGGATTGCATGGGCAAAATACTGAACAATGCAGGAAGCATCAACAGAAGATGGAAGGAATTGCTCGACATTCAACCATTTCAGGAGGCAGCATATGATTAAAAAAACACTGACTTTATTAATGGAATAAGTCCAAGCTTCACTTATAAAACAAAGCTCCAGGAATTCATGGACTAACAATTGTAATATGTCAACAAGCTGATGCAGCACTGAAAACACTCACTAATCTATGTCAACAAATATAGAGGGCAGCTACTAGCCAATTGGAAGAGATGCATATTTTTGCCCAATTCCAAAGATAGATGGCACACCAGAATGAGGGAATTTGCAAAAAATATCATTAATATCCCACACAAGTGAAATTTAACAGAGACAATTAAAAATCCAAAAATGGTTGCGGCAGTACATCAGCAGGGAGCTGCTATAAATTCAAGGTGGATGCAGAAGAGGACATTGTAAGAGGGGTATCACTGCTGACATCAGATGGATCTTAGATAAAGGCAGAGAATAACAGAACTATGTTTACTTGTTTTATTGACCATGCAAAGGTATTCAGTTGTGTGGATCATACCAAATTCCACAGCACTTAATTCAGCTCATGTGAAACCTATATATAAGCCTAAAGGCAGTCACTTGAGTAGAACAAAAGGAAATTGCATGGTTTAAAATCAGAGAAGGTATGCATCAGGGTTGTGTCCTTTCACCTTATTTATTCAATCTGCATGCTGAGCAAATAATCTGGGAAGAGGGACTATATGAAGTAGAATACCACCAGTATTGAAGGAAAACTAATAACTACTTGAAAAATGTAGATGATACAATCTTGTGTACTGAAAGAGAACAGGATTTGAAGCACTTGCCAAGGAAGATCAAAGAACACAGCCATCAGTATGAATTACAACTCAATGGAAAGAAAAAAAAATCTGTCTTCTTCCACCTTCTTTTACCCAGACCCACCAGGCAAAAATGTTGTTTGGTGAGAGCTTTATGGCGCTGTGGGTTAATGCCCTTGACTACAACATCAGTTTGAACTGCAAGGTTGGTGGTTCAAGATCACTAGTCGCTCCTTGGAAACCCTCTAGAAGGTTGCTATGGGTTGAAACTGACTTGACGGCACTGAACAACAACAACAACAAAGACAATGGCTGGAAAAGATAGTTAATAACTCACCACACTAAAATGTGCCTATGACATAACAATTCTACTTGTAGATAAATATTTAAGAGAAATGGGTGTACTCATTACCAAAACACAAGAATGACCTAAAAATTCCTCTTCTAGGTAAATACGTAAGACAAATGAGTGGACTCATTACTAAAACATAAGAATAATCATATCAACTACATTCAAAAAAGCTAAAATATATTAAGAACTTTAAAGCTTTCAATTGGTATAACATAGTTCATAAAGTTAACATTCTATATCGTAGTTTGAGTAGTGTTCGGGATCTTAAAATCTTGCCAGCAGCCATCTAAGATACAACTGCTGATCTCTAGTTATCAGGAACAGAAGAGAATGAAGGGAACCAAAGACTCAAAGAAGAAATTATTCCACAGAACTAATAATCCACATGAACCACAGTCTGTTTTGTAAGTGACTACGTGCAGTTATCAGATTTTATTAAGCTGTACACTTAAAAAGTGAAACAAAAACTGTATGAAAATGGTGGCTGTAAATTTAATAAATCTGACAAATAGCAATACCATATCAGAACGTGGTCTTAAGGACTGTATACCATCTTTGTTGAATTGGATATAGTACTATTAATGCAATTTAAACTGATATTTGACTTAGGGCAAACACTTAATATTTTTGTTCATAGTTTGTTATCTATTGAAACACCTTAAATGTGTCCAAACTATTGTCAGAACTACAATGCCTTTGTTGTTGTTATAAAGTGCCGTTGAGTCAGTTCCCACCCATAGCAACCATGTATAGGGTTTCCAATGAGCAGTAGGTGAGCTTGACCACCAACCTTTGTAATTCAAGCGGCTTTGCAGTCTGACAAGTTGACCCACAGCACCACACCAGGACTCCAAGATACTAATCTACACATGGTCACACCTACCAAATAGTGATGTAAAGATTGGAAATTGGTGGTGGTGGTTATGTGCTGTGGAGTTGGTTAGACTCACAGCGACCCTGTACAGGCTTCCCAAGGCTGTAAATCTTTACAGGAACAGAAAGCCTCATCTTTCTCCCATGGAACAGCTAGTAGTTTCAAACTGCTGACCTTGAGGTTCACAGCACAATTCATAAAATTCTTTAAAACATTCATTTAAGATACATTTAAGACCATCACTTAAACCAAACAAGAGCTTTTGGAACTTTATGTAATAATACTGAGTATCAGATTTCGTTTCAGCTCTTGTGTTATTCACAATTTGGTCAGCATACCTCATCTGTAGAAAATATTGTTGTATTTAGAAAAATTTGTTTGAATTCATAATTCATATGTCCATTTGTTTTTATACGGATTTATGTGTGGCATGATACGTTTATGTTGTAATAACGGATTAAATGTATTTGTCTTTGAAAATGGATATAGCTCTTTGTCGTTCTAAGTGAAATTACATACATCCTGATGTAATTATTTAAGTTGTTTTTGAAATTTTGGGAATCTGTCTTTTAAATGTCACTGCTGTTAAATTATTTTAATTAACTGACATAAAATGCTGTGAAATTTTATTGCTAGATTATATTTTTAAGCTATATTAACCAATTTATTTCAAAGAATGTATTATATATTTTTAAGAAAATATATTGCGATACTAATATTCTGTATGCAAATATGCCTTAATTTATCAAATATATTTGTTCTGCATGAATAAATTTTAATGTATGTAGATAAATATACTCCATTTTAAAATTGCATAAGATAGGGCTTTGCAAAAGTTATGAAAAAATATAATTAAAAGACAATGGAAGTTTATACTCACTTTTTGAAACCCCTTTGTATTATTATTATTAGTTTAATTTTCTAACAATGCTATTCTTCTAAATTTTACGTTGAATGCACACACACACATGCACACATACAATTAAAACTAAAATAATTTTTTTTTTAAATACAGATTCCAATTAATTTTTAGGCTTAAGGCTAGTATGAAAACATTATTCATCAAATCAAAAAAGAAGCTCTTCTCCTAAAACAAATGAGTTAGCTTACTTGCCATATGAGTATTTAGAAACCATGTTACATTCTCACATAATTACATTAAATATTAAAATGCCTTACAAACTTTTGCTATAAGACATATAGAAGGCTATTTTAAATATCATATTCTCAGAAATAACTTTCTGTAAATTCAATACTAAATAGTTTTATATTTCTATTAACTGATGAATTTCAGTGATTACATATCTCATTAAATTCTGAAAATAGGTAAATTGTAACATATGAAAAAGCTTTTAAACACATGTTTTTAAAACAACCCTTTCCTATTTCTGGATGCTTAAGTTCATGTTTTCTACTTTCTACCAACCTGCTTATTCATAAATTTCACTTTAATTTCCCAGGGGAGAAATCTGCAACTGATTTTCTCTTTTAAATTTTTAGAGGCAGGTAAAATAAAGTCAGTCAAAAGTCAAAGGAGAACATAATGCAAGAGAAAATAATTTACAGATGTTTGTATGAATTAGGAGGAACTGCACATTGGGGTTTGGCTGATCCTAAATGTACAGATTGACTCATTTCATCGTTCATGTCTTCTTTATTATACTACATATGGAAAAGCCAATGAAAACTATTAGACTAGAAAATACTTTATGAAAGTTATAAAATGTTAGTTTGCATAACATTTCAATCAAGAATGATGGCTAATCTAAAGCACTGTTCATTATCTCTTTTTCTAGTTGAGTTCCTGTGATACTTATGAAAACCTCATGAATATCTGAAAGGTTTTACACCATCTAGCGATGACCACTAAGAGAAAACCAACTCCCAGTGATGGGATAATTGTTTCCATACTGAGAAATAACCATATAATTTTATCAGTAGCACAAGTTATAGACAAAATACAGACATAAAGTATAAACTCTACTAATACACATAAATGTATATTAAATTCTTTAACATTAACAAGAAATAACAAAAAAATATATATTACTCTATGGACACACCATAATATAACCACCTCCATAATATTTCTCAAATTATTTTGTAGAAAAATACATTCTTTTATTTCTATAAGTAGTTTTCATACAATGCTTTCTGAGTATCTTTAACTTAGTGATGTGTTCTAGGAACTAAACACAGGTCTTGCTCTCAGGGTTTTATAATGTAGGTGAAAAGACAGGGTAAATCATGAATAAGTGGTGAGAAATCCAGAAGTAACCAACTTCACCACAAAACTTCAAGACTGGCAGAATTGGGAACTTGAAAGATAAGTTCATTATTTTAAGAAATAGATTTACATTTTTCATTTGCCTTCTCTATAATGTTATAATTCATATGCTCTAGAACTATAACCTTAAAAGATGAACATATGAATAATTGTGAGATTCAGGACACAAATAATTAACAGAAGAACTATTGATAGAAACAGAACATGCCTTAAAGGTATGATATTTATGTATATGTATATAGACATTTATATATATTTAAAAAGAAGTTTAAGAAAATTAAGAAATGTCAAATGTTAGAGAAAATGAGAGTTTTGAATAATCATTTAATATATAATACAGTGGTTAGTCTTACCTCTGCCATGAGTTGCTGAAGAGAAGGCGATGCCACAGGATGTAGACTTGAGTTTCCCCTTATGGGATTATGGAGACTAACATAAGCCACAGCATTTTTCTGCAGAACCTTCTTGAAATCCTAAAATTCAAAAAGAATATATGTTTAACATATATATCAATAGAGGATTTCACTTTATTCATTGTTGTTGCTAAGTGCCTTTGAGTCAATTCTGACTCATAGTGACCCTGTTTAAGGTTTCGAGAAGTGACTGGTGAGTTTGAACTGCCGTTCTTGCAATTCAAGTTGACCTTGCAGTCCAGTGCATTAACCCACAGCACCACATCAGGAGTCCACTTTATTCAACTTTATTCATTAGATGTTAAGTGATAAACACTTGCTATTTAAAATTATATATTGCAAAATACCTTAAGGGAAAAAAAAAAATCAGAGTATTTAATGGTGTACCCAAAGGAGCTCTGGTAGCGTAGTGGTTACAAATCGGGCTGCAAACCATAAGGTCAGTGGTTCGAAACTACCAGCCGCTCCGCGGGAGAAAAATGAGGCTTTCTACTCCCGTAAAGATTTACACCCTCGGAAACCCTGTACAGGGTCGCTATGGGTCGGAACCGACTCGACGGCACTTAACAACAACAACAACAACAATGGTGTACCCAAGGGTCATAAAAGGATTTAAATATGAGTGCTGAGGAGTTTGGATATAATATGCCATAAAGTATTTTTTAAATGTTTTAGACAATAGCTTTAAAAATTATGTATCCAGTATTCTTAAACAGTTAGCAATGTTTAGCATTTGGCTTCTGAATAAGAAATTGAACACTTGTTCAGTAAAAGAACAAGTAAGAATGTGGATATACTATTTGCTTGATAAAACCAGTTCTTGCCTTTGAAATAAAGGGCTACATTTCACATTAAGTGACTCTTTTCACTGAGAACAATGGGTCAAAAGAGCATTGTTTCTCTGCAAATATTACCTAATGTAAAATGTGAATTCCATGCACATTGCTGTTGTTGTTAATTGCTGTCTAGTTGATTCTGATTCTGACTCTTAGTTAATCTGTATTTGAAGGGCATTGAAAAGCAGCTGCGGGATTTGAACTGTTGACCTTGTGGATCAAAGTCCAGTACTTATCCTACAGCACCACACCAAGAGTCTACACCAGTACATTGTTGTTGTTAAGTACTGTTGAGTTGATTCCAACTTATAATGACACTGTATAAGGCTTCCAAGGAGTGACTGGTGAACTTTAAATGCTGATTTTGTAGTTCAAGGGGACCTTTTCATTCAAGCTGACCTTGCAGTCAAGTGCATTAACCCATAGTGCCACACCAACACATTAGTAGCATAAAATGATTCAGTAGAACAGTTTTTTCACTTCTCTGTTGATCCTTAAAATAAATGAAGAGCATTGACCCTTTTAATAGGGCATTACTAGAAAGTTCTGTTAGTTTCCTTTTTCTTGCATAGTACAAAAATGTATTGATTATACTGGGGTGAGCTTTGTCCATGCAGTGGTTGCTAACTGAGAGACAAGTAGTTCAAGCACAGCCAGTGACAGTACTAATGAAAGTTCCAGGGATCTGCTTCCATAAAGACTGCTGTTGTTCAGCAACCCTGCACAAAACAGAATGAAATACTGTCTGATCCTGTTCCATCCTTAAAATGGTTATACTTGAGGCCATTGTTGTAGTCACTGTGTTAATCCATCTCGTTGGAGGTTTTCCTCCTTTTCACCTACATTCCATTTTACCAAGCATTATGTCCTTCTCCGGGGATTTTTCCCTCCTGATAACATGTCCAAAATATGAGAGACGAAGTGTCACCATGCTCACTGTCAAGGAGCATTCTGATTATACTTCTTCCAACACAGACTTATTTGTTCTGCTAGCAGTCCATGTACTTTAAATATTCTTCTTCAGCACTATAACTCAAATGCATCAATTCTTCTACTGCCTTCCTTATTAACTGTCTAACTTTCATATGCATATGAAGCAACTAAAAATATCATGGCTTCTGTCAGGCAATCCTTAGTCCTGAAAATATTTGCTCTTGGACCCTTTAAAAAGGTCTTGTGAACCAAATTTGCTTAATTCAATAAATCATTTGATTTCTTGACTGCTGCTTCCATGAATGCTGATGGTTGATGCAAGCAAAATGAAGTCTTGGACAAATTCAATCTTTTCTCCATTTATCATGATGTTATTTATTTGTCCAGTTGAGAGTATTTTTGTTATCTTTACACTGAGATATGATCCATACTGAAAGTTGTAGTCTTTGATTTCATAAATGTTTTAAGTTCTCTTCACTTCCAGTAAGCAAGATTGTATCATCTGCATATCACAGGTTGCCAGTGAGTCTTCCTGCAATCTTGATGCCACAATCTTCTTCACATAATCCAGCTTCACAGATTATTTGCTCAATAAACAGATTAAATAAATATGGTAAATGATATAACCCCAGTGCACATCTTCCTGATTGTAACTCATTCACCATCCCCTTGTTCTGTCCTAACTGCCTCTTGGTCTATGTCTAGGTTTCTCATAAGTATAATTAAATGTTCTGGAATACTCCCTCTTCACAATGTTATCCATAGTTTGTCATGATCTACACATTCGGTAGCATTTA